CGCCCTTCATCCCCCGCACGCCCTTCATCCCCCGCACGCCCTTCATCCCCCGCACGCCCTTCATCCCCCGCACGCCCTTCATCCCGCTGACCCCCGCACGATCTTCCCGCCACAGGTCTTCATCTCTCTCTTCCCTCTGCAGGGGCCTGCGCCATGGACACCAGCGTGTACGCCATGGGGGGATACGACGGGAGAGACCAGCTGAACAGTGTGGAGAAGTACGACATCGAGAAGAACTCCTGGACTTTTGTGGCCCCCATGGCACACCGTAGGAGCGCGTTGGGAGTCACCGCTCACCAGGGGAAGATCTACGTATTAGGTAACATGTTCACCATCTGCTCTCTCTCCTCAGAAGGGCCCTTTGTGGGCGTTTACCTCCATCTATCATTTGAAGGGCAGAGGAAGAGGTGAATGATGATGTTCCTCATAAGGACATGCCGACTGTGGAGGGAGGAGCCTAAAGGATAATGGTGCTTTGGAAACGCATTAGGGCAAGGGGGTAACCAAACTCCGGCCCTCCGGCTGTGCTAAAACTACAAATCCCACGATGCATCTGTGGCTGTGGGAACCTTGCAATGCCTCATGGGATTGGTAGTTTTTGCCGCAGCTGGAGGGCCGGAGTTTGGTTCCCCCGGCATTAGGGGGAGGAATGAAGCACAGGCACCTTACTATAGCAATCTCCAAAACCCTCCTGTCATGGCCCAGCCGCCTATCGGCAGTGTGGCTATCCGTCAAAGTGATGGGCCAATGGGAAGGTGTACGGGTGTTGGGTAGGGATGCACGGATACCGATACTGAGTACTCGTACTTGCCCCAAATGCTCCCGATAGCGGAACTTCCTGTATCGGGAACTTCCTGCATGAGGGAGCATGGAGCCGGCCAATCGGTAAGCTGGGCGGCGTGTAATGACCTACCCCCAGCTTCCTGATTGGTCGGGAAGCTGGCCAATTGGGAAGTTGCACGGCGAGTCATTACACGCCGCTTGCCTTTCTTAAAGGAGAACTATGAGGGGGGTGATTTTCACTGATCCTCCTAGTTCGGGGCGACGTGTGACAATGAGACTGTCACAGGTCGGCTCAGTAGATCGGGAGGTGAGAGAACACATACGGGCGTTCGCTCACATCTCGATCCTGTCACGGCACAGAGCCGTGACTGTCACTCACTGCTCCCTGCAGGGATTCCCCGCTCCTCCAGCGCTGACGGGAGGGGGCGGGTACAGCTGGCTCTGCCTCTAGAGCCAGCTGAGCGGATCCCGACATCCATGTCGGGATCCGCTGCGGCGTCTCAGTATACCGCGAGCTGTAGCTCCCTATATACTGAGCTTTGGGTGACGGGAGGACGCTAGTTTTTGTCCCCCCGCCAACCCTGAGGAGAACTACGGGGGAAAACACTGACCCCATACTTCTCCTTTAATTGGACTTCCGGTAACAGTATTCGGTATTGGCGAGTACCGAAAAGAAAAATCAGTACCGGTACTCTATACCGAAGAACCGGTATCGGCGCATCCCTAGTGTTAGGTGTCTAACGATCCTAGACCCATCGCAACCTCTCGGCTCCTTCTGGTGGTTGTGGCCACATACCCTCAGCCTGGCTACGCGCCCCTCTCAGCCTAGGGCTTGGTTAGTGTCTAGGTTAAAGTCCTGGGGACATCCCAGCACCGGTGGGCCCTGTAGCCTCGGTGGGCCCTGTAGCCTCGGTGGGCCCTGTAGCCCCATTTCTCCCTTCTCTGCTTTTGGTTGTGTGAGCCGGCCGGGGTGGCGATTCGCTGAAGCCGATCTGTCTTCCTGTCTTGCAGGCGGATATGACGGGACGACGTTTTTGGACAGCGTGGAATGTTACGACCCCGCCCAGGATACGTGGACAGAGGTGACGCAAATGTTGTCGGGGCGGAGCGGCGTCGGCGTGGCGGTCACCATGGAGCCGTGCCGCAAAAACCAGTGCGGGGACATCCTACCCGAGAAGCAGGAGGGGAACCCGTCGGAGAAACAGCGAGGAAACTGCTTCTTCTCCTCGCTCTGCAAGAAGTAACCGCGGCCCTTGCCGATCGGCATCAGCGCAGTATTACACG